AACAGAGACAAGAAAAGAAAAACTGACCGCAATGGGAAAGCTAGAAACTGTATTCACTTTCCTATAAGAATATTGACAGTTGAGAGGACAGAGACAGGGAAATAATTTGAAATGGGACAGGAACAGGAACACAAAGGGAGAGTAATGCAGAACAAGAAGGGAGAGAAAAAGAGAAAAAGAAAAAATTTAAATATATATATATATATATCTATCTATATATATATAAGTACTGGGGATCAAACTCAGGTCCTTGCACTTGCGAGGCAGTCAGCAGAACCACTGAGATAAATCCCTAGCCCTATATATAAATTTTTTAAAGGGGCTTCCCTCAGGATATGTCTCTGCTTTCCTGGTAGACAATATGGGCAGCAGTGTGCAGGTCTGAGTCAATTATTAGTCTCAGCAAGCCAGCTGTAGTCTACTGAGATTCAGGCTGATTTCTGGCTGCAGGCCCAAGTTGAGATCCCTGACCTCCTGCAGGATTTAAGTCTGCAAGGTTCTACTGCAGGTTCCAGCTGTCCTCCTCCCTATAGGAGGTGCTGATCCCACCAACTTACCTACCATGGTGGTTCTGTGTGCCTTTATTGCAGAGATTTTCTTCACTTTCCCAGTGGGCTTCAATTTTCATTGAGGAGCCTCAGAGAGGCCCTCTCTGTTGTTCATTTCTGCTTTATATTCTAGGGCTCATAACCATGTTCTTTATGGCCCTCCAGCACCTCTGCAGGGCAGATTCAGATACTGTGCAGCCCATATGGCCTGGTCTGGTGGGGCTGCGGCTGGCATCTGGGCTAACTCTGTTTCATTGATTTTTTTGTATCATTCTCTTTGTCTCCTTGCACTGATTTCTGCTCTTATCTTTATAATTTTCTCCCTTATGTGAGCTGTGGGTTTGTCATGTTCTTCTTTTTCCAGAAGCTTGAGGTTCAGCATTAGTTTGTTTATTTGAACTCACTCTGTTTTCCTAATATGAGTATTCACTGCTATGAATTTCCCTCATAAGACTGCTTTCACTGTGTCCCATAAATTCTGATATGTTGTATTGGCATTGTCATTTAATTGTAGAAACTATCTGATTTTTTTTCTTTAATTTCCTCTACAACCCATTGGTTGTTTAGGAGGGTGTTGTTCAATTTCCATGTGTTTATGAAATTCTTGTGGTTTGTTTTGCTATTGGTCTCCAATTTCACTACACTATCATCTGATAATATACAAGGGATAATTTCAATTCCTTTGCATTTACTTAAATATGTTCTATGAGCAAGCATGTGGTCTATTTTGAAGAATGACCCATGTGCAGCAGAAAAGAATGTGTATTCTGATTTTCGGGAGTGGAACACTCTGTAAACATCTGTTGAGTCCATTTGTTCAAGAATTTGGTTGAATTCTAGTATTTTGTTATTTATTTTTTTTTCTAGTTGATCTGTTTGTGACAGTGGAGTATTGAAGTCCCCTAATACTATTGCATTAGTGCTTATTTGGTTTTTTGTGTCTATTAATAATTGTTTTATATAGTTGGGTGCACTAGTACTTGGTGCATATATATTTATGATCTCATCTCTTCCTCTTGGATTGTTCTTTACAAGGATGCAGTGGCCATATCTCTCTTAATTAATGTTGGTTTGAAATCCATTTTGTCTCCAAATAGGAAAGCTACTCCTGCTTATTTTGGGGTTCCTGCCTCATGGAGTATTATTTTCCACCCTTTAACTCTCAGTCTATGAGTTTCTTTTTTAATTAACTGTGTTTATTGTATGCAGCATATTGTTGGATCTTGCTTCTTGACCCATTCTGCCAGTCTATTTCTATTGATTGGTAAATAAAGACCATTAACATTGATGGTTATAACTGATATGTATTGACTTACTTTTGTCATGACCTTTTCCTGTTGTTGAATTCTCCCCCTTTGCATTTAATTTCTTGTCTTGCCTGATGGATTCATTGTGCTGGGCTTCATGGGGTTGTGACCCTCATTATCTTCTCCTAAGATATTGTTTAAAATTATTTGGCAAGCAATTTTGGTATTCCTAAAGTTCCTCAGGTGTTCTTTGTCATAAAAGAATCTTATTTCTCCATCAATTTTGAAAGATTATTTTACAGGGTACATCAGTCTGGGTTGGAGGCTGTTTTCCTTTAGGGATTCAAATACATCACTCCAACATCTCCTTGACTTCAGTGTTTGTGTTGAGAAGTCTGCTGTGATCCTGATGGGCTTTCCTTTGTATGTGAATTGTTTCTTTTCTCTAACTTCTTGTAGTATTTTGTTCTTCTGTTGGTTTTCTGGGTCTTGACTATTATATGCCTAGATGTAGTTTTTTTTTTTTTATCACTGCTAGTTGGAGTCCTATATGCTTCACTTATTTGTATGTCAAATTCTTTGTATGTCAAAACTACTTGGGAAGTTTTCTACCATTACCTCTGTGAACAGTTTCTTTATGTCATTTGCACTCTCTCCTGTTTCTTCATTGACTTTGATCATTCTTATGTTATTCCTCTTTGCATCATCTGGCAGATGCTGGATTAATTTCTCATGTTCCCTTGCTATTTTTAAGAAATTTCTTCTTTTCCTGGTCACTAATCACAATCCTGTCTTTATCTGATAGTCTGTCCTCACATTGGCTCATTCTGCTGCATAAACTTTCAATGAAATTTTTAATCTCCTGGATATCTGTTTAAATCTATTTTATTGATTCCATTTGTTTCTTTTTCCAGGATTCCATCATGCTCTCCAAGTCCTCTATTTTTATCTATGTGAGCTCTAGAGTTATTAATCATGTCTTTCACTTTGGGCACAATCTCTGCTGTTACCTGAGAAATCATTTCAGATTTTTTTTCCAAATCCTCTTTCATTGCCAATTCAGAGAGTCCAGATGGTTGAGTTTCAGATTGTTCCCTTGGGCCTTGGGGTTGACTTTGATGATCTAGAAGACTGGTTTTGAGTTTTGTTTAAGTATCTTCTGATTTCAACTAATGCAGTCTGCTGTGCATTTATTGCAGTGACTTTTTGCTCTCTCAGTGGACTCACTTCTCAACAATCCTCAGAGAGGCTTTCTCTCTGCTGCTCATCCCTGGGCCAGTTCCTAGGTTCAGAATGATAGCCTTCTGGATCACCCTACTGGGCTGTTGTCCAGGTGGGATTCTGGCTGAGGCCTGTGCACACTTAGTGATGGTATCTGGGTGGGCCTCTGGCTGGGGTCTGCATGCCTGAGCAGCTGTTGTCTGGATGGGCTTCTGACCTTTTTGTGTTTTTTTTAAGAACCACTTTATTGGGGTAAAACTATCCCATATGAATCTATGTATATTTCAGGTATATACCTGGATGTTTTGGGACATAACCATATGCCCATGAAAGTGTCACTATAATCAGTACCATATAGATAGATAGATAGATAGATAGATAGATAGATAGATAGATATGTCATTTCTACAAGCTTTCTTATACCCTTTCTGTTAGTCAGTTAGTTATTGACTGATAAGGACACCTGATCTATCCTCTTAGGCTTATTTCTCTTAGAAAAGTGGTAATTTTTGTTGTTGATTGGTGGCTTGATTTTGTTTTGCTTTAATGGCTTCCCAAAATGAGATATTCTAAAGGTATTTTAATTTTGTATTAGAGGAAGGAGCTTACTTATATAACTTCCCAGATCAATAACATAGAAGTAAAATCTAACCAGAGTATGATAAAGACACCTGTGATGGTCCCAGCAGCATGATCTCCTGAGCAGAAATCCCTGATAGATACAGCTGGAAAATAAACAGAACCTACCTATCAGTCTTTCTACCCTCCCTTCCTTCCTCCCTTCTCTTCCCACTAGAAGGACACTAGAGTATGAAATTGTTACAAGTATGAGAACCTGTCCTTCCCTGAAATTGTGTCATGGGAAAACTAAAATTAGGATGTAGACCAGTTGTCTGGCAGAAAATTTTAGGAGTATATAGACACATAATGTATCCATATTATGGGGAAATGACCCAGTTAAATTGGATGTTAAGAGTTCTCACAAATATTTTATAACCCAAAATTGTAATAATTTTCCAAGGCCTTCCCCTTCCCTTCCTTCTTCCAACACAGCATCATGGCACATGACATATATCCATGTGCATATGACAAAAGACAAGTGGGGGAACAAGGCCAAGGAGTGAAATATGATACTACACTATCAAGTGCTCTTTTCCTCAAAGGCTTTGCCTAATCCTTGGCAAATGCTTTTGGTCCAAATAAGTCTCTATAGGTCCATAAGACTAATCTTCATATTAAATCTTATATGCAGAGACAGATACATTCATCTTTCCGACCTTTTCTATAGTTAAGTTTAAGGATAGTAACTGACCCTAAAAAAGCCCATTTCCTGGCCCTAACATAAACTTAAAGCAAGCTGGAAATGAAAGAAACAAATTAAAGCCATTATGCCGACAGCTGGCCACTCAAAGCCATTTTGCTTTAGTTGTCAGCAAGTTGCCCAATTCCTAGGCCCCCTTATAATTAATACCAAGCTCTGTATAATTATCTGTGAAACAGTGTGCCAGGATCTGAGTCTGTCTTCATGGTAGGAGGTAGGGAGATGAATCACAGGGGGTCCTGGCCTTCCCTGGGCACAAGACCAAGAAGGAAAAATGGACATGACCAAAAGCTACGGTCTCAGGATAGATCAGGATCTGTGTCATAGTGGACATAGAGTATTGTGAACATGTGGAACCCAGATGAACTAGATATAAAAAATAGGGTGTTGGCCATGAAGATTGAAGAAGAAAATAGAGAGGAAAATAAGAACAGGGCAGGAAGGGTGACTTGAGAAGAAAGATTAATGCAATTGACATTTGCTGAATGATGCCTTGTACTAACCACCATGCCAGGCTCATAGAGCTCAGGGTCCTTGATTATGAATGCACAAATGGAAATCCATACCAACAACAGCAACAACAAAAAAGACATGTTACAGCCATGGCTTGCTGTTGATTATGGTTGGAGATATTGATTAGATATTTCCCCCCTTCTTTCAAAGGTTTGATATTTTCTGCAATTCTTACATCACTTGAAAATTACTTCTCCCCAACGCTCTTCCGAGTCATCCGCCTAGCCCGGATCGGCCGCATCCTCAGACTGATTCGGGCAGCCAAAGGGATCCGCACACTGCTCTTCGCCCTCATGATGTCCCTGCCCGCTCTCTTCAACATTGGGCTGCTGCTCTTCCTCGTCATGTTCATCTACTCCATCTTTGGCATGGCCAGCTTTCCCCATGTGAAGGCAGAGGCTGGCATCGATGACATGTTCAACTTTAAAACCTTTGCCAACAGCATGCTGTGCCTCTTCCAGATCACCACGTCAGCCGGCTGGGATGGCCTCCTGAGCCCCATCCTCAACACAGGGCCCCCCTACTGCAATGGCACGAGAGGAGACTGTGGGAACCCAGCTGTGGGCATCCTCTTCTTCACCACCTACATCATCATCTCCTTCCTCATTGTGGTCAACATGTACATCGCAGTGATTCTGGAGAATTTCAATGTAGCCACAGAAGAGAGCACCGAACCCCTGAGTGAAGATGACTTTGACATGTTCTATGAGACCTGGGAGAAGTTTGATCCAGAAGCTACCCAGTTCATTACCTTTTCTGCCCTCTCAGACTTTGCAGACACACTTTCTGGCCCTCTCCGAATCCCAAAACCAAATCGGAATATATTAATCCAGATGGACCTGCCCTTGGTCCCTGGAGATAAGATCCACTGTCTGGACATCCTTTTTGCTTTCACCAAGAAGGTGCTGGGAGAATCTGGGGAGTTGGACACTCTGAAAGCAAATATGGAAGAGAAGTTTATGGCAACTAATATTTCAAAGGCATCCTATGAGCCAATAGCAACCACCCTCCGGTGGAAGCAAGAAGACATTTCAGCCACTGTCATTCAAAAGGCCTATCGGAGCTATATGCAGCATCGCTCCTTGGTACTCTCCAACTCCTCCTATCCAACTCCTCCTAGGGTTGAGGAGGAGGCTGAGTCACTCCCAGATGAAGGTTTTGTTGCATTTATGGCAAATGAAAATTATGTGCTCCCAGATAAATCTGAAACTTCATCTGCCACATCTTTCCCACCATCCTATGACAGTGTCACTAGAGGCCTTAATGACAGGGTCAACATGAGCACATCCAGCTCAGTGCAAAATGAAGATGAAGCCATGAGTAAGGAGGCAACTGTCTCTGGACTCCAGTGATGACATACCAGCATGGATTTGCCCAGTTCTGCTGTGATATCTGTTCCTCATGACAGATGGAACCTAGCTACAAGCTCATCAATGCATGCCGCTGGCCATAATGTCAGAACTGGGCAGATAGTGTAGTTGGTACCCACTTTTGGAAAGATCCCCATGAAAATGGCATTCAGAAGCCAGGAATGTGTCCTCTTTGACTTCCCTTCTGAATTTGAATAGCAGATGCTGAGTTCTCTTACTTTCCATAAAATATCACTGGTCCATTTATTTTGATTATGACCAGAGATTTTATCTACCAAGACAAATTCTCAGGACCAGAACTTCCAAAAATATATGGCAAGAACATTGCTGAAAGCCTAATGTGGTGTTCTTTGAAACACCAGACAGAGATTGGTGATATTATTTAGGATTTTGCATGATTGCATGCTGAGAGCTGCTGGACTTCTCCAGCTCACAGTAATACCTGTGTTCTATGTCATGAAGCACCTTTGAGATATCCATTAAAATTAATATTTTTAAAGGTATTTCAAAACTAATGTTAAATCTTAAAACATCTTCTTTTTCCTTAATTGTATGATGCTAACATGTTCCATAGAATCACTTCTCCCTTGATTTCAGTTTCCTGATATTTACAGTTCAAGCTTAAGACTGGGTAGAGAAGGAGGAAAGCTGTTTTGAGAGCTAGACAGACTGGCTCTAATCTTAGTTCTTCCACTGATTGCCTGTCTGGCCACAGCCAAGCTCTTTTCCCCATAAATTTGTTTCCCCCAGCTGTAAAATTGGTGAGAGTTGGAGACAAAATGGATTCCTTGCCCTCAAATTTTACGTTGTAGAACTCAGTGGATACAGAAAACACCCTATATTCCAACGGCCAAATCTTGCTGCTATGAGTCTAATAAGGTAATCTTTGGATACATTCCAGAATCTGTTTTATATCTCACAATCAGACTTTAAAGAGGAGGGTTTTCACATTCCCCTGGGACGAGAACGCCATCATTAGTATAATAAGAAGAAAAGAGAAATTTTGAGAGAGATAATCCAGCAGATAAAAGGCATGGCCAGTAGTGTTTTTCATACATCCTATAAATGTTATTGAGAACATATTATATGGCAAGCTTTGTGCCAAGGGCAAGAAATAAAATAGGAGTTAACCCCCAAAAGATGAACTGAATTAAGGTAGTGTATGGAGTAAGGGTTATCAGGAGAGTATATTCAGGCCAAAGGCACATCACAGGTCTTGAAAGAAGGGTAGCAGAGTTCATACAGCAACATAGGATATAAAGAATCTCAGTGACAGCTGGGATCCTCCATTAGTACTTGGGAAATTCCCAGCCACAGTCCCAAAGATCGGATCCATCCATTGGATATATATTTGATCCCTTTATAAGCTTTTCCAAGGATGCAATTACAAAGGGTAGAGGCTGACCCACCTCATGTATCTCATGGATGCAGATTTTCTGAGTCTTTACTCTTCTTTATTTGTCACTATTGGTCCATCAGAGGTAAAAGGCTTTCAAGATGTTTGTTTGGGTTTGCCAGCACCCACTGATGCAGATTAGTATGATGATGAGAAAAGAGCAGAGGGCACAGGTCATCTCAGCACAAACTAGCTACTCTCTGGTATCTCCTTTTTAGGTGAAAGATGAGGTCAACCAGATGGCTCTTCCTCCCTAGTGCCAGTGAATTAAGGACACTAAACTAAAGGCATTGACTTGTAGCTTCTTCAGCATCTAAATCCCATGGGGCCAATGAAAAGCCATCTGAAATGATTCCAATTTGTTTATAAGACAGAGAACTTGAGGAATGGTTTACTTTTACAGCACAGTGTAGAAGAATTAAATGTACACTACCATCAAACTAGTTATGCCAAGGAAATGATATTATTCTCAAAGGTATTCTAATCACATTTTGTGCCCCATGATTGGGTTGAATTGTATCCCTCTAAAAGATATATTGATGCTTCAGCCCATGGTACCTGTCAATGTGACTTTGGAGATAGGGTATTTGCAGGCATAATAAATTAAGATGAAGTCTAGCTTAGGGCAAGTCCTAATGCAATAATGAAATTTGGACATAGAGAGGAAAATACCATATGAAGGGAGAGAGAAGAAGGGAGAAGGAAGGGGGAGGGAGGGGGGAGCAGGAGGGGGGACAGAGAGAGAGAGAGAGAGAGAGAGAGAGAGAGA